GAATACGTAGCGTTTCAAACGATTGCAAAACTCAAATTTGGTCTTATTCTAATTACCACTTACCACACACATTAACAGATATAGAATGGACACGGTAGATTCGTAGTCACCTTGGCTTGGAGAACCATGACAGCATGCTTCGCCTATAGTGTTTTCAAATCGTATTTATAAAAAATATTTTATTAAAAAAGATCAATTTTATGTTAATAATCTTTCAATTATCAATTAAAAGATATTCTTAATATATTTAAAATATGAAGAAGTAATTAGTATTAACATCCATCGAGTATCTAAACTCTAAAGAAGATGTTGTCTAATAGAAAAAAAAAATGTTGTCTACGATTCAAAATCATTCGTATTAATAAATAAAAAAATATTAAAAATTCATACCAATAATTAGTAATAATATATATATATAAACTTGTATAGCACGAAATTTGTTTGTTGCCGTCTGAAAAAGTAGAATTTCACTCCAATTAACGTAGTCCACAATTCCAAGGTCCTCTACTAACTTAAATCTTCAAAAAATTGATAAAAGTTAACATATTATAAATTAGTATTAAAATAATTTTAAATATAAAAAAAATATGTATACTATAACATTTAGGCTTTTTACTGTAATATTGTAATTACTTTTAATTTTACCCACTTGCAATTTTAATTTTCAAAATGTTCTATACTAATAAATCGGTTTATTTTTAAAAAATAGGAATGAGTATTAGTAATTTTCAAACCAACATCCCATGTACTTAATTGATTTTCAACCATTTTCAATACCGACTTTAGTTTATTATTTTGTTTTATTATTAGTTTAAAACTAAATATATAATATTTAATTTAATAATATTATATATTAAATGAATAAACATATAATTATATGAATTATTTATAGTAACATATTAATGATAAATAATATTTATGTATTGTTAAAATATTTTACAAATATTCAAATTGTGTAAATTAATTTATTTCAACATGTTTATGTAATTTGTTAATTTTTTTGTAATGTTAATGGATATTAATATTCTTTATATATTATTAAAATACTTTAATTAATCTACTTGTTAAAATATCAATGATAAAAAAATAAAATTAAAGTAATAAAGTTTAAAATATCACATTGCCTAAAAATAAAGTTGTTTTTTAAATAATAATATTTATTCATGAAGCTCCATAACATATATACATAGCAGTTTTAAATTGTATGTAAATATTTGTTATTATAATTGATTCACTAATTTATCGTTAAGTTTTTTTAGTGAGTCCTCATTGTCATAAAACCAATATATAAAAATGGATTAATACAAAAAAATTAAAATAATAGATACTTTTAAGTAGTCTGTGCGTGGACTAATACATTTCTATATTTTGTTTTATTTTATTTTAGAAAATACTGAACACACAAAATAATTTATATATTTTATTTTATTTTATCTTAATTCATTTATCAAATGATATCCAATAATTTGCTAAATACCGACAATAGACTAATAGTGATGTATTAGAAAAAAAAAAAAACAATTTCATCACAATTCTATGGTGAAGTATTTATTCTTTTAAAAAAATTGTGCAAGTGACTTTTTCATTATCAAATCTGCTTTATTAAAATTAATTAATACTAAAATTTGGTCACATTTACATTTATTATTATTTTGCCTTCGACATGTCACCTAACTATTATAACACCCACATGTTGTGGTGGTACTTAGTCATGTAACAAACGTAGAAGACAAAAACCAGATCTTTTATCTTACTATAAATGGGTCTTGCGTACAATAATTGGTTAGTGTCAAATGATGCTTATACACTTGTGACCAAACTCATTTATAAATTAGCCAGACACAAAAGAGGGGCACACAATGTTTGAGTTTTGTGCCACTTTAAATATCATGTGTTTCTGAAATGCATGTTTTTTTTTATGAGTACTGTTGTTGCCCTCATGCATATCTATCTTCCTCTAACAGGAAAGCTAATCGGATGCAAATTTATTAAGTTTTTATAAAAAAGTTATCTATCAAATATGTTTAAGTATGATTAACTAATTAACTACATTATTATTAAGTTATAATTTTATTTATAATATCTTATAAGTATGAATTCAATATCTTTGAACAATTATTAATTAAGCTATATACTATATTTTTAACCAGTACTCTTTTTTTTTTGTTAAATTTCATATATAATTAATGGTAGTATAAAAATAATAATAATTCAAATGAACATAAGATCGTCTGTTTTCTGCACTTGTAATGCATAGTTATATCAAGAGTTTCATATATTTGAAGGGTTTTTCGAGGGCCAAGGCTAAGATAATTGATACAATGCTATTGCTATATCACTGTAAAGGTGTTTTCAATACTCCTAAAGGATGAGTAAAATTCTAAATTTAGTCCTTTAAAAAATTTATTAATATGTGCCGTAGTAGACTTATATCTATTTTTAATATAAAATAATAATAAAAACGAGTGATTTTTGTAAAATTAAAAATTATTAAAAAATATTTATTAACCTTAACTTTTAGAGATGGAGATAAACAACTAATAATAATAAAATTTTATTAAAAAAAGTATTTATTATATTTTTATAAATTTAATATAATAATTGTGTATTTTTTTTATAAAAAAATTTATTTTTAAATATTTAAACTCAATTTTAAAGACTGAAATTAACAAAAATCTTAAAAAAATATATGTTTTACTTTTATAATATGAAAATTTATTTAGGTTAAAATTCAACATATCAAACAACTCTGGCTATTAAGACAAAAATATTAATTATGTTCAAAAAAATTTTATATTAAATAAAATAAAAATATTTAAATTAATAGCTTATTAAAATTAAACTCAAAACAATATGCCAAGGTCCAGTATTCGCCGAGCCTGCCCTAAAATTTAAAACTCAGTAAGTCAAATACCGTGACTAAGGAACAACAGTGGCTGTACCATGGTGAAATGGGCCTTGGACTTTGTCTTTAAATTTTTTTGGTTTGTTATCAACTGAAATAATGGCCCATAAAGGATTTTTACTTTCTCTACCTCAATTTTTTAAAAAAGCTACCATATATATATATATATATATATATATATATAATATTATATATATATATATATAATATTAAAAATAAAATTATGAAAAGTAATGATCACTTGCGGAAAGTATTGATTTTTGTATGGGTAGGGCAACTCAATTGAGAGATAAGTTGCTTAGATGGCAAAATATTTTCATTATTTCCCAGTATTAATTGTATATTATTTATCTATTCATGCTGATTTATTGAATTTCCATGAAATGCGAGAGATATCAAAAGATATTATCATCAAATTAAATGAAAAAAGAAAATGCAATCTCTAATTTTTCAAATAATTATTATTATTACTAAATAAATTCACTGTGTAACTAATTATTCTTATTAAATCAAAATGAAAGATGTTATAAATTATATTTTAATTAATATTTTATATGCAAATAAAAATGAATTCAAAATATTTAAATTATATTTTTATTAGTTTTTAAATGTAATATTTAATAATTATAAATTAAACCTTTAAACTTATTTTAAATCTTAAATACTGATAAATTATAACAAATTAAAAATATTGTTTTAAACAAACCCAATTTTGATTTTTTTAATGTCCGAATTAGAATATTAAGATTAGTGCGATTAGTCAAAATCATTTTAATTAAATTTTAATACACTAAATCAATTGATTCAAATAATTTTTTTACAGTTTTTTTTTTTAATCAAGAGTTATGACTTTTAGCTTTCAAGAAGACACAAAAACGACTCTTTAAAGATGTTTGTTTCTTACCATTGGTATAATTATTATAATTTTTAGAAATATTTTTAATTGAAAAACTTTCCATTCAAGCAAAGAAATCCTATAATATTTTTATTTATCAAAGTATACCATAATATAAAAACAGCAATATTTTTAACATTGATATTAATAAACTTCGTACAACTAATAACATAAAACAAAATACTGTAAATTTATAAGTCTGTACGTTTACGAATTCTAGTTGAAAAACTAGTCCCTCAATAGAGTAAATACTTAAGAAAAATGCTACCAAGTGTTTTACCTATTTTAAAAAAAATAAAAGTATATATTTCTATCAAAAAACTAAAACACCACATTCAATTTTGTAATTTTAAATAAAATTTTCATTTATTATTATTATTTTTATTCAATTTCCTAAAAATACTATTCAGCAAGATTTAATATTTAAATATATCTCTAAAATTGTTCTTGGAAGACATTAACTTTTAAAAATATAAACATCTTATTTTAACTAATTAAAAATCATAAATCGGTTTTATTACTTTTTTAGCAATTAAAGTACCGTATATTTAAATATTAATATGATTGATATTTATAATTTTAAAAAGAAATGAACATTTTTATATTATTAAAAACCAACGAGTCTTATGTTAAATTTTCAAGTATCAATTTAATTTTCAATTTAGTGATTCTTTTAACACACGTCTATATATATAACAAGGACTTGAATATACCTTAAGCTTTTACCAAAAATAAATAATATAAAATATTTTAATTTTTATAGAAAATAATATTTTATGATTTTTTAAACACGTGTTAAAAAATTCCTTTAATTTTTTAAAAAATTAGCTTTGATTGTTAAAGCTGTGTATAAACAAATATGAATAATAAAACTTTATATAAAAACATATTTATTATTTTTATATTTTTGACGTAATAAATATTTTGTTTTTTAATAATTTTTTCTATTTTAGACAAATTCCTTAGTTCTGAAGAATATATTTTTCTTGGAGCTTTAAATACTGTGACAGCGAAATTTAAAAGAATCTTTCTTTCTTTGTAAGCTAAACCCCAAACGAGACGGTGCTTTTTCTCCTTCGCTTCTGCGCAGTGCACTTCACTTCACTGGTCACTGCACTCTCCTTATTCCAAAGGTTTTTCCTCTTATTTACATTTTACCTTCGATTTTCTTTTTCTTTTTATCTTTCAGTAAACAGCACTATCATTTTCTTGTGCACTGTAAATCTTTAATTCCTTTGGTAATCAGTTCTTTTCGTGATGCTTTTTTTGCAGATTAATTTGGTTGGTAATTTGTAGTTAAACTTTTTTTTTTTTGGCTTTATTATAATATATATTACTCACTGTTACTGTTTTATTGGAATGTTGGTGGCTGCGTAGAAACTTAATTCGATCCGCTTGTAGTAAAGAATTAAAGATTCTTTGACCAGCGAAGCCTAAGTGTTTTTGTGTGTGTGTGTGTGTGATTAATCAATGTTGCTATGTGGTTTGATTTTGTTGGCTAGGTTTTGTGGTGTATGTGAGTTGGTGCCGTTGACTGTTATATAAGAGTCAAATGAAGGATGGAAAGCATGGGGTAAAATAAGCGAAGGGAAAGAGTTTATTGACGTGTTTATTACATCATTCTGTTTTAGTGTGTTTGGTTTGAGGTGTTGTTGCGTCGTGCTTGTGAATTGGTGAAGTTTACACGTGGTAAGTGGTAACTGAAAAGGAGCTGCTTCATCGGCACTGTGTGGCTTCCAAAAATTTGAATTTCATAATGGCATATAAACTGGAGGAAAAAATTTCAGCCTCAATTTTTTTTAGTTTTGATTTGATTCATGCCCATCATTTTGTCCTGAAAGGGGAGGGGTGCTTTTCATGAAGCCTGAACAGTTGGTAAATGTACTAAAGTTACCTAGTTTGTGGACTGATCCAATGTTTCTAATGTAAGTAAACAAGAGAAATACTAGTAACACATTCTTTTAAAAACAATTCCGGTGATTGGTTTGTTTTTATAAAAAGTCAAAATATTTGCTTCATAAATTGATCATTTTTTAAAATAACTTTGACTTTTTAAAAAACTAACTAATCACAAGAGGTGTGTTGCTAGCATTCTTCATGTAAGTAATTGATGCTTTCTCATTGATTATGGTGATATATATATATATATATATACTAGAATTATCTATTTTTAATAAGTTTGGTACAGAAAAATAGATTTCAAATGTGAAAAAGTTTTATTTCATTTGGCCTCCAATTAGGACATATTTTAGTTCATTAAGGTCTAAATCTACATGTTTAATTGCTTAACTAGAAGCTCTTGTGCATGGTTATGGTACCAAACCTCATTAAAGCTCAAGCTATTAGGTGGTGGCCTAGGAATGGTTTTATATTCCAAATTTCCTTCATGGATGAAAAGGCTTTTCTTTTAATAGAGTCTTCTGTCCATATCTGTATGCAGATTATAGTTTAGAAGGCAATGCTATACGGCACTGATCCAAAGAAGATGGAACTAATCGGTAGTAGTTCAAATGCCCATCAGAATCACTCTTCAGAGAGCTCACACGATGCCAGCAAAGAGAATTTGACAGAGAAAGAAGTCTATGCAAACCATGGTATGTCCTTTTCTGACATCTTTAGTTATTCTTTAGGGAAAAAAAAATAGCTTGCATTTGTTAACAAATAAAAGCTTTTTCACAGTTTGAAAATTTCAAGTATCTTATATGCAAATGGCAATGTGGGTGGGCCGAGTAATACTCGTGTAGAGTCTGTGACTGTAGTATTTGGATTTAACTTCATATTAATAGGTTTGGTTCAGTGGCAAGACTGATGCATTCATGTTTAAATTTATAAATAATATTGCTTTCCTCCTCATGTAGAATGCATTGAATTTCTTAGCAGATATGTTAGAATCCTTTATTTTTTGTTTCTTTGTTTCCTAGGTCAGTTTTGAGGCAACTTGATTATAGTGAATACCCTGTGGTTTCCAAGAAGGAAAAAGTAGAAAATATGAAAATTTATTGGGGTACAAAGTTTGTCATATGATTGTTTTAGTCATTATGACACAAACACAATTGCAAACTTACAAATATATGCATGTAAGTATTTATTACATTAATTTAGCCAGATGTAAACGAAGATTTTACAGAAATATCTTACGCTAATTTTCAATTCCCTGAACACCATCAGAAAATATAAAATATCTTAATATAATTTTTATCCTTTAATATTGACTGCTGTGAGACTCTTTTCAGTGATTAACTTCTGCACTATCAAATGCTGTCCACTTATATGCCGTTTTTTAGAATAATCTAAAGTGTATTCATGTTCTCATGCAGCTGAGTTAGCCTGGTGTCAAATGAGGACAGAATGGGTTGGTGATCAATCAAAAAAATTACAGAGACCACCTAAAGATTCAACTATAAGGTATATGCATACTTCTGATTTTCACCCATTCTCACTATGAACAAAAAAAAGTAGGGGGCCTGCTGTCCTGTTCAGGCAATGGTGTAATAATACTGTTACATTTAGTAAAGAAGAGATCCAATCAGGTTAGACTACAAATTTCCTAGTGTATATAGCTTCATTACAAAGAATGATTGAATCGTGTAAGCTGTTTATGTAACTAACAGAAATATAGCCACCAAATAAATATAACAGCAATCAGATTTCTGTGGACAAATTTATCGACTACTTTGTGAATTTATTCCACATTTTAGATAAGGAAAGGCAAATCTTTTACCTTGTCTCCAACCAAGCATCATACATGTATGATGTATATTTTGCTTTTAACATACTGGCTTGCCAATGCTAGAGTGGAAATTTTTATTTCAGTAAACCTATAAATGTAGCCTAACTCATCGGTCTTGTGTGCTAGTGGCTCCAACTCTTGCTTAATATAAATGGAAGGTCCAAGTCCAAGATCACCTCTATAGTTTTTTGCTTGTAATCCATCCTCTAGGTTTTTTGAGACCCGTTTCTATATCACGTTGCCAAAAGTAACTTGGACATCTCTTGCAGCCAGACAACTTCTTATGAGGATGTACTTTTATCTAAAGACCCTTTTCAACAACTAATACCATTAGCTGTAAGTTCTTTAAGAACACTCCTTTCCTTTCAAATTTGGGAATACATTATGTAAAAACAATGATGGTATGCTGGATACTGCAGGAGATGGTAAATTTTTTAGTTAAAACTTGGCTTGAGGAAGGTCTCTATGATTAGATTACAGGTAATTCTACTGTAAATTTCAGCAAGAATCTTGCACAGTTTTATTTGTCCTCGGATGCCGTGGAAGCATATTGCTGATATAAACTCTTTTAGCATGAGATTGATTGAAATCATTGAACGATAGTGTAATTGGTTCTCTTTGCTGCCCAAGAAGCTTCACAGAAGTTTATGTCTGTGGCGCCTTGGATTTTCTAGTCATAATGTGGCTGCTGCAGTTCATTGGTCCAAATCTAAGTATATTTTTGAATATATAATGCATTATCCATAATGATAAATAGGCAATCTCACTCAATATTTTAATGAAATTTGAAACACGAGTTGAATTTGCCTTTACATTGTTAAGTATTTTTCTATTGCAATTATATTCGAATTTGACAAATCATAATTTTAATGACACAATGACACACTTAAGTCACTTAAAATTGGTGTGGCCTAAGGCTTTTGGAGGAGAATCCTATTTGTGTAGTACATTTAATAGCTCATACTTCTTTTGTTATTCAATTTTGTACAGTATCGTGTTCTAGTTGAATTGGTATATATGGCCACAAGTAGCGAATTCCATAGTTCTACGGTCCTCAGCAATTGTCTGATCAATTGTTGGTTTGGACTTTGGGTCGACCAAAATTTTTCTAATCTAAAAGCTGTTTTTTCGGGCATGGTTTAAGCATTTTTCTTTGGCGTTATGCAATATCAACCAAACTATTACCTTTGTTTTCCCTCGACGAGCGTGGGAGAAGCTACAAAAAATTATGTAATTTTGTTCACTCAACGCATTAGATACAGCCGTGCCCATTGCCAAGAACATTAAAAAGTCAGAAAATTAGTTGAATTTTGTGCAGTTCTTTGATATTTTGGTTGAGGTTGAGGCCTCGAGGCTATCTTTAGATGAACGAAAAGGGATCAAATAAAATGAAATGGAATAATTAACGATATTACGTTTTGTCATTTAGATTTGTTTAAAATAAAGGTTTAATATCACTTCATCGAATGTTTTTCTATTCATTCCTCTTTAATTTAGGAGTATGACATGAATTCAGTTTTTTTCCTCCTTTCCCATCTATCACACAATATTAAATAATATTTTGTTTCATTTACCATTATTCACAAATATTCTAGTTTGGACCTTGGAAATTTCGTGGGAGCTTTCGCAATTTAAAGTAGCAATGTAATTCGTCAAACCATAATCTCAAGTATCTTGTTGCTTTCCGTAGAATCGAAGTCTGCTTCTCCCGTTTCCTTGTGCACTTTAGGACTTTGGATGACATTGAAATGTGATTCCTTATAATCTTCTTCTGTTTACTAAGTTGAAATTTTGTGCTTGAGAAAATTATCGTTTGTGGAAGAGACTGAAGTTATTGGTAAAAAAACATGGGAGTATGTTGCACGCAAATCTTGGTTATCTCGTAACCTTAGGGAGGGTGTGATAAATAATTAATAGGTGATGACCAGTTTAAACTTTCAAATGCTCGCGTTGCAATCCGTAAACACTAAACCTTGAACTAAATCCTCAAGCTCTTTTTGTTAAATGCTTAATCAAAATTATTTATTTTATTAAAAAATAATTTAACTTTTATTTTAGGTTCGTTATACAACTAGAATTAAACTTTATAAACAAAAATATCGAAACTTTATGAGTAAATAGTCAGTGCGTGAAGATTCTTTTGCTCATTATTGTTCTTATTTTTATTTAATATATTTGTCTAAAAATATTTATTAAATATTCAACTAATAAACTACACACAAACGAATTAAGATCAATTGCTCAATAAAATCGTACTTTTAATGCTTTTTTTTTTAAAAACAAATTTTATTAATTGAACCGTTCAATTTAAATTTTTTATAAACTATATTATTTTTATAAAATTTTGTATAATTTAAATAATAATCAATACTTCATTGTCCTGTCATATTTTTATCGATAATATATTATTTAAGATATAACTAAATACTTATTATTATATTATATAATTATTAATATTTAAATTGTGTAATACACATATTTTTAACAACATTATTGTATGAATTAATGATTGAATTAATAACTTTTTTTTAAAATTATTAGAAGTATTATTTTATTAAAATTATATCCATACAGTATATATATACGTGCTAAAAAAGGAAATATAATATATTATAAGGGAAATATAGATTTCCATTTTTTTCTCGATCTGAAAAGATTTCTTTATTTCAAAATATCTTTTTACTCCAGAGGAAAGAAAGATTTTTGTAAGCCCTCGCAAGATGGTTTCCGTTATCTGAATTTTCATTTTTTTCTTCTTCTAAATAAATAAAACTTTTTGTTTTCTCACATGTATTTTTCTTTTCTTTTTTTTTACAGAAAACAATTATATTTGAAATATTATGGGGGCACTTAACGTGCATACAACTATATGTTAAAAATTGTACCGTTATTTGTCTTTAACGTAATACAAAAAATTAACCTCTTCTATACACTTTCGTGGAAAATTATTGTAAATAGGAAACGATGTTTCTATAACATTAAAAAAAGTATTTATAATTTTTACTATATATCAACTAAATTTCTAAGGAAAAAGTCATTTTAATTTCTTATCCAGTCTGGTAGATCAGTGCCTTAAAGAGTAAATAATAAAATAAAGCATTTAGGTGAGTGTGAAAATAAGAAGAAAATAACATTTATTTTCTTTGAAATTTGAATAACCGAAAATGAAACCATTCCAAAGCAAAACACTTGAGTGGGGGCATAATTCTCGAATATCTTTGCCATTAAATTGGAAATGAGTGTGACCCAGTGGCTGGATCGGGTGTTGGAGCAGCCACTTCATCTTCGTCTACTGAATCAACAAAACGTACATAAAATAGATAGATAGATTATAGATAGGACCAACCTCGTTTGTTCTGTTTCTTGAGTTATTTCATTCTCACATATCCAACCATATTTTGCATGTCCAATTCTTGTTCCAAAATATCTATCTCATCTCTTACTCCAATCCCTTTTCACAACGCCACAATCATTCATTCACTCCACACCCTCCTATTCCTCAACTCCCTTCACTCACCCCTTTTCTAATTCGCCCAAAGGTATCTTTTTGACGATAACCCAAGTTCGCTTTTCCCTAAACAACGTTAAATTTGCAATCTTTATATACCCCTTTGCGCTGATTCTGTGTTTTTTGTTGTTTTGTTTTGCTCAGATTTTGTGCTCTACGGTCAACATGGAGATCGATAAAGCAATTAGAGAGTGTGATGATCGAAGACTTCAGACCAAGTACAACAACGCCACCTATGTTATTCAGAGAGCTTTAGCTTTGTATTCGTAAGTTGTTCTTAATCTCCTATGACTATGACTGTGAGCTGGAACATGTAATTGTGGGGTTGTTATCTTAACCTTTTTCATGTGTTGTGTTTGAATTTTACGTATGGGGAATTGGATTCATTTGCCCCTTTTCTGTTGGTTTGTATAAATCAGAAGAGAAAAATTTTATGTTCTGTTGACTTGATTGTTGTGGTTGTTTCTGCCGGAAAGATAAATAGGTGCTCAATGAGGATGGATGCTTGATTTATGTTGGATCCATTTGAAGAGATTAACGGGTGATGTCAAATTTCTTCCCTTGATTGTTGTTGTCTCAGGGGCAAGCATTTTAAAAAATGTTTCAGTCTGTTGACTTGAAAAAGTCAATGGAAATTTTGTTGTGACAGAGATGTAATGAATGAGGTCTGCTTCCCGCTTTGTCAAAGTTACCGCAAAATACTTACAATGGTGTTATCTGAAAAATGGAAATTTCCCTGTGTTGGTTCTGTTATTTCAATACAATCTCAGTTCCTATCAACTTTTATTTTGATATTTGTATGTTAGATTACGAAGAAAGGACGATATGTGCTCCATTTGCCAATTTTTAACAGGATATCTATTCTAAACTTAATAACTCTTACAGCTTCATAGGAACATTATTTGTATTGGGTGCCGGCCAAATGGAGGATTTAAAATTTGATTGTTTTAGGGATAGGTGCATAGATCCTAGAGTGATGCCCCTTACTTTTGGTGTCTTTTTCCTACAAGTAATACCTGTTTTAAATCATGAATGGAAAAAAAAAATTATGATCTTTGATGGCTGTCTCTTCTCAATGCTGATTTCCCTTGTTGATGTAAGTTGTCTGATGTCTGCATGTATTTACGTATTTCTTCCTGCAGTATTGAAGAGGTTGCCTTCAGCTTCAATGGAGGAAAGGATTCAACAGTAAGTTTTAATCTGTGTAATCTTTTATCACCCATCAGAATCTTAGAGCTCATTGATGACAACATTGAGCTTTGCCATGTAGGTTTTGTTGCACCTACTCAGGGCTGGCTATTTCTTGCATAAAAGAGGGAAAAATAGTGCCAATGGGGATTTAAAAAATTTTCCAATTCGGACAATATATTTTGAGACTCCTAGTGCTTTCCCAGAAATCAACTCATTTACCTATGATACAGCTTCTACGTGAGTGAAATTTCTTCCTTTTCACTTTTGGAATTTATTTTTATTTGTCATTGCAGTGTAGATAATATGGAAAAGTGATATATTTCTCCTTTTATTGTTGTTATACTTTTCAAACTTGGAGGCTTGTCCTCCTCTAAAAGTGGGAGTAAACTAATGATTTTAGCTTGGGCAGCTATGGTTTGCAAATTGACACCATTCGCTTAGATTTCAAGTCTGGTTTGGAGGCTTTGTTAAAGGATAAACCTATTCGAGCTATTTTCCTTGGAGTTCGAATTGGAGACCCTACTGCGGTATTCTTATTTCTTAACCATGGGATATTATTTTTGTTATATTCTCTGACCTGCCATTTGTCCAAAACTGAATATTGTTTTATACAAGCTCATTGAAAACAAATTTTACTTGGAAGTGCTCAAGGATCAAAATTTTAAAGCAAGATGCATTAGTGAAGATCTCATGTGCTATATATGAAAATTTTTCCAAAAACTGTACATACATATAACTATTCATAGATATATTCTATAAGGAGAAAGCTAAGCTACATACTCATTTCTCAATAAGTTGCAATCTAGTAAAGTGGTACATGTCAATATAAATTCTAAATGTTCCTAGAATATGCCAGCATTGTCATTAATCTCATATATAATTATGAATAAGTTATTATGTGCTAATACTGCAATTACATTACAATTTTAGTATGCATTAAATATGTCAATTCTCGAATCTCAACTGTCAAATTATCAACTATATTTTCAATTTTTGTAAAACCTTGCTATTAGTTTGAAGATCACCAGAATAATAGTTAATATTAATCAGAACATAGGTGAAATGATTACTCTATGCTGTTGAGGAGAGGATAATAATTAGGGCTCATGAGCAGAATCATCTCTCGGAATAGCATCAAATACTTGTGAAATTTGAAATTGATCAAGAAATTCAACAGTATACATTGTTTTAAAAGTTTCCTTTATTATTAATTTTTTAAATATATCTTTTGACATGTTGGGCCAAACCTGAAGATGTTTTCAAAAGCCTAACACTGGCAAACACCTGAAAAAATTTTAGCTCAAATTTCAACTCAATTCAATATGAAAATATGCATCAAATTATTGATCAGAATCTTTATTTTACAACTTTTATTTCCTTAAGGCTAGTTTTTATATTCAAAAGCAATTTTGAGAAATATATCAAGCATATGGCCCAAGTAAAAGCTTAAAATTGTATGCTTTTATGCTTCAAACAAAGGTTTGATTACCATGGTTTTTTGAAAGCTGGAATATTGCCAACTCTCCTATTCATACAAGTGTGCTCCAACCTTGCAGGTTGGTCAAGAGCAATTCTCCCCTAGCTCACCCGGGTGGCCACCTTTCATGAGAGTGAATCCCATTTTAGATTGGTCATACAGGTTTGGTCCTTTGTTCTATGAAGTTTCTTAAATGTTTTTTATTTAATAAAATTAGTACCAGTGCTTATATTTGGTGCTGCTGTTTCTTTTAAACTCTTGATCTCTTATCTGGATGAGTCAACAAAATAAAGATCTGAAAAAAATAGAATTCTCTCTGAACCTCATTTGTGGTTGGTGCTTACACAAATCCTATCATTTGATTTACAAGGTATTTCATCAGTTATTTGTTGCTGTTGGATCCACCTCATATGTAGTTCCAAATTTATTTATTGTTTAGCACCTTTATTTTACCCACTTCTTCTATATTTGAAATATCCTTTTTGAAGACTGCCATACAATTATTTATGGTTAATTCTTAATTCTTGTCCTTGGTATAAGTTGTCTAATATTTATAACCTTTTGGCATTACACTGACTTTCATATTTGGGTCACCTTGTAAATGAGTAGTTAGAGAAAATTAGAAAGCCTCAGGTAAAAGCTGAAGGGTAGCTTGTCAAAATGAACAAAAAAAAAAAAAAACAGATCTTACACCAATGGATTTATTGAAAACTGATTTTTCTTTTTCTTTTTGGATTTAGCCCAATGGCATTGTTTGATCCCTAAAGTCAATCCCATCAAATATGACAAGGATTGGTTGGTATATATTTTTAACTTCAATTTTTGTTCTGCTAATGATATGACAACTATTCATCGCTCATCTTAGAAAGTAGCTGAATAAATCAGGGAAAGTATTAGGTTTCCTTTTCTTAATTTACATGTTAGTTTAATTTTGAAAGCACTATTATTTGGAAGATATATTCTTTTCTGTGATTATTTATGCTGATGCTTTTTGAAGGTGATAATGTTGATTGTTTAATCTAGTTATGGTGGTTATGTTTTTATGCAGAGATGTATGGGCCTTCCTTTTAACATGCAAGGTGAACTATTGCAGCCTTTACGATCAAGGGTAATACTCAATAAATTATAAATATATTGGACCTTATAATTGTATTTTAATATATCTGCGTGCCATATCTTTCCTTTTTGTTTAACTTTTTTTCTCAGAATAGGGGAATGTGGGAGGATAATTAGATGAAGGGCTTGTAGATTTCTTTTTCATCTTTTTTGAACTATTTAAAACGAATTGACTAAATAACCTAACTGGAACCTTCTATATTGTATAATAATTGGTCCATCGTTGTTGATATTAAGTTCTAATTGTTAGTTTTTATTCAGGGAATTTTGGTGTATGATTATTTCTTTATTATTTATGCAGTTATACATCAATTGGGAGCATATATGACACAGTTCCCAACTCTTTATTAAGCATTAGCAACGCTTCCAATAAATTCAAACCAGCATATCTACTTGCTGATGGAAGATTAGAGAGGGCAGGGAGGGCTAAAAGATCATCTACTGGTGGACAACTACGTGCTGACAGCAATGGCTTGACTACCCCAGATTTGCATAAAAACAGCATGCTCACAGCATCAATCATTGCAGTAGGAGATGAGATTCTGTAAGTACCTTGATGCCACTTGGATAGCTGGATTTTGTGGAATATATTGGAAACACTATCTTGTATGAACTTGTATCAGCTGCTTTAAAATATTCGAAGATTTCACTATTTTATCAGAATATTTACCTTGTTTCAAGTTTCGGGTATCAATATGCGCTAAACAATCTATTGTTGAATCTCTTGACTGTATAGTGGATGACTTTGCTGTTTTGACAAACTTTCTATTATATCTTGACATAGCAGGTCTGCTATTAATCTTGAATAAACAATATCCTTCTTTTTAATGTGAAGTAAGTAAGCAACATGGATATTAATTTCAAATTTTCAATAATCATTTGATGAAAGTAAATATTAATGGAAAATGTAAATTTTTAATATCCATCGAGTGCAGTGAACTGATTATTTTTTATGAACCTTTAACTGTTTTAATGATGTTCTCTTTTTCTTTACTCTGTTCCATAGCTCAGGTTTGGCATTGTTGAGGATCAATTGGGACCTTATTTGTGTGGGAAGCTGAATTCCGTTGGTTGGTCTGTGTTTCAACTTTCTGTTGTACACAACAGTGTGAGTTCATTTCTGCAGAAATCCTACGTGTTTATATGAACTCTTGTAGCAACACTTAAAGGTGTTACTATGAGTCTGTGGATAATGAACTATGTGCAAACTCTAATATAGCCAAATATAGGCATTGTTCACCTATTATTTTAATTTCATGGTTTATGACATGTGTATTTGTACCAGATAGATTCTGTGGCCGAAGAAGTTGAGAGACAAAAATCTACAAGTGATATGGTAAGATACAAATGTTTAGAAAGCTAGATGCATGAAATTTCTTGATTATTGAATGATGGTTCAGGTTATTTATCTGGCCTGCTTCTTGTAGGTATTTATATATGGAGGTGTAGGTCCACTGCATTCAGATGTTACCTTATCAGGCATTGCAAAAGCTTTTGGTGTTCGTTTGGTGCGTTGCTTCCTTGAATTTCTGTTTTTTTAAATTTGGGGCTACTATAATCATTCCCCAAATCTAGTAGAGTAGTTAGTCTCCCACATGTGTTGTCAATACTTCAGTTGTTGGAACTTGGAAGTGGTTGAACTTGAAACTGTCCAACAGAATGCTGCTGACAGCATTCAGTAATGGGTTCTGCTGGTTCTGTTGCCGAGGGAGAGCTCTAACACTAAATATATTGTAACTTTCCTCAGTTCATTATATCAGAAAATATGAACACAATATCAGTTCAGATTGTAGATCAAACATTCTGTCATTTCAGCCCTCTTTCACTTGCTCTCATTTTTCCACAAATCTTCATCTCTATCATTATTAATTGGTATTTTCTTTTAATGTAGGCTCCTGATGAAGAATTTGAGGAGTATCTCAGGCATATTATTGGTGATCAGTGTACTGGTGACCGCAATGAGGTAATTTACTTGGAAAATATTGTTTATTTTTGTGTTCTTTGATGTTTCCCCGACAGCTTTTTGGTTTGACACTAATCCTCATTTGGGATACCGAAGCTGTCCCTCCCCACAAGTGATTTTCTAGTGACTCAAATGCAACATTGCACAGGTCCCTCAACCATTAGTTATTCATTACTTAGTAATACTTACCTAAAAAACAGCTAGTTATCTTCCTTCCTTATGTTTATATTTTTAATCATAAATTTAATCATGGTATTGTGATTGAAGAAAACACCTGTTTGATTTCAGTTGTCAAGCAAGTGGCAGGAGAGGGTGAGAAATATAACATTTTATTTTTAATATGGTCATAGGACGACTTAGGAATGTACTAAAAATTTGTTTCATTGGTAGGAACATTTGAGAATGTGACCTATGGTTCATACTCATGCTCACAAGTGGCAAGATCATATAACTTATTAAGCAATAAGGTCCAATTCTTAACAACACGGCCTAGAGCAAGTGTATCAAGGCTGTTTATTGTTGCTTTATACGGTTTATATTAAGATGTATGATCATACATCTTTGTGAGAAGCTTGACCTGTTGTTTATTAGAACAGTCATATAAACTGATAATATCTCAAAGTATCTTCGTAATTTGACTCCAATATTTCTTCCTTTTGTGTCAGCAACAAGGCATCAATCTGCACGCACAGATTTTACTTGCATTACACAATGTGCTGTGCGATGACATTTTGTAGTATGACATTGATTAATATTGATCCTCTCTTTCACTTTTCAGATGGCTCAATTGCCTGAGGGCATAACTGAATTATTGCATCATGAGGAGTTGTCTGTGCCCTTGGTATGTCTTCAAAAGTTCATTAATGAAAATTGTTTCCTTAAATGTCATTCTCCAGAAATTCAATTTCACATCAAGGAGAACCTGGAAAAAATTATTTATTTGTTGTGACCAACTCCTATATTGTACGTGATGAAAATAATGAAAGAATACTGGTTTTTACTGTTTTAGATCAATTGTGTTTTTTTGCAGATCAAGTGCCAAAATGTAATAATTCTAAGTGCAACAAATGTTTTGGAGCTGGAAAGGCAGTGGGACTGTTTGATTGAATTAACAAAATCAAGTGACCTACTAGCGTTGCTGGAACCATATGTATCAAAGCATGTGACAACTAATCTCTCAGATGTATGTGTTAACTTCCATATATCATGATACATCTGTGGCTTCAAGATTATTTGAAATTTTGTTTGCGTTTAATATTTGTGGACACAATTCCTGCCTTTATCTGTAATGTGTGTTCTTTTTGAGTTTTATCCACGGGAAACTTTGACTTGGTGAGACTACCCATTATGCCTATCCCCCACACCCCCAAGGTTTACTTTTCCTCTGTATTTTGCCTTTTCTGTAGACAATTTTTTTGGATGAAAATATTTGATAGTAGCAGTTGGATACACTTTATTCTTGTGAGAGTATGCAACATCTATATGCTGTGTTTGCCTTGTTTCTCTTCAATTTTCTTCTTCCTGGGCTCTTCTGATCTCATATTTGCACATCTAAACTGCAGGTTGAAATTGCTCAACCTTTGTCAAAGCTTTGCCTTGAATTTCCGGACCTTTATATTGGTATGAAGTTCATGAATTGTTGTGATATTTACCAGTATACGCCTCATTATCTATCTATATTCTTAGTTGTGTTTCTTCTTTGTAACATCAAGGGTGTTATCGCAAAGCCAGATATGGATCCCTTATAGTAAGCTTCAAAGGAAAGGTACGACGAAACTACCCTATTCTAGTCTTTGTTTTAAGGAAAATAAGTTTGTCTGTAATAACAGTTCTAATTTTCTAACAGGACCAAACACGCCTTGAATCAGCTATAAAAGCATTGCACAAGAAGTTTCAACCTGGTGCTTTCGTTGAGATGAACTAGCGTGATATTCTCAATGATATGGTCCATTTCTATTGGATGCGAACAGAATGGAAATCTTTTATACACAGGGAACATGCCAATCTCATATTATCTACAAATATAAGATGCATGGGATAAAGATGGACTGAGGAATAAATCAAGGATGCTACTCTGTCGGAAGAAGAAAGAACAATGGTACAACAGAGGTTGCTGAAGCTTCAATTCAATTGCGATACACGGCATTTTAACTGCTTCATGGGGCTCGGACAACAAATTGACTATTATTGAATTATTATGAAATTATCTCAACTTACAGAACCAGTTTACAAATACAGGTTTTTGCATTGAAAATCCACCAATTAAATCTTTAAATTAGCAGTGCAAATTGCACCATCAGCTTTGGTTGCTATTTACCTGATTTTTATGTTGATTTAAGTATACTTGCTATACAGTTGGCAAGCAGGTCATCTGGTGTATGAACCATTTAGCCCATTTTTTTAACCATTCTATGCTGAGGCATAGTTTGCCCAGTGGAATAACGTATTTATTGGTAAAGTCACCGTACAGGAAAAGATTTCCCCCCTCAATAAGTAATGATTAGGGCACGACCCTTTTTTCTTTACTTCTATGTTCGTGGGATACCCCTCACATTAACTTTCTATGTTCAGGGGAATCAATTCTTCTTGTGCTGATCAAAGGTTAAATTCCAAACTATTGACGCACTTCCTAAACCGATTGACCTCTTGTCTGAATTTGATAAAGATCAGCAAAATATGTTGATTATGGCAATGCTGTTTAATTGCACAACATAGATAGGTCAATTAACCAATGATACAATAGTCAATTTCTTAGGGTGTGAGAACTGAGAAAACAATTGTGTAAATTAAGTTATACCAGCCAGAGATAAAAAAATAAAATAAAATGTGAATTGTTATTCTGAAATCTGAATGCAACCACATAATAACTATTACATCCTTGCGATCATATCACCATGCATGCAGAGGATGGTGTGTATCATCTGTGGCTGTCTCTGTTTGCTGTGATGTTTCTTGACTTGCTCGTGCATGAATACATTATTTTTATGTATATAGACAGTCAATTTTGCTACTTTCAATTCCAAATATGTAAAAAAGGTCGGTGGAATTTTTATTTTATTTTTTTGTCTTTTCGGAAACAAAGAGGGGCAATAAATTGAGAAAGAAAGTCAACAATGTCCTGCACCAGAAACCACAATCAAAGAAACATTTAACATAAACTTAGAAGTGTGAGAAAGCAGGTTAATGGAATGAAGAAGCTGGAAACTAGGAGAGTTTAGAGGTAATCATTACAAATTAAGTACATTGCTACATCAAAATCACTCTCAAGTCTCAATCCTTAGCTTTGACAATTCTTTATCCCAAGCTACATGTAGCACAAATCTTCCTTGCAAAATTTAACATAAACATATATTACGTTTGATATCTTTATTTTCTTCTACAGTGGGAATTAGGACAGTCTGATCACAACTTAGTCGAGGCAAATCCTTAGTGGCCCAAAACACTTCGTTTTATTACAGACTAAAGTTCTTTGACTTTTTATATGCATAATTAATAATAAATTTATTAAAATTATAGTATTTAATTACAGATTTTTATTATATATCTTTAATAATGTTAAAAATCGTTTTAAAAAAAAATAACTATCTACTAATTAATTTACTTTTTTTTATCTCTTTAAAAACTGGGTTTGGTTAATTTTATTATTTGAGTATGAGAACCGAGATTATAATATAAATATAATATTGAGATTAAGAATAAATGGAATATGACATACACTGATTCACGAATAAACTTTTGATTAAAATTATAATAAATTATTTAAATAACATTTTTATAATTCTTATTATTTTAAAATCTTTAATAAGTGACTCAATAGTCTTTTTTTTTTTTAATCCAACGTTCTTCTTAAAAGTAATTTAAATAAAAATGGTCGATTTATTGTATTCCCCAAAACTCTGAATGGCTCTCACAGAATAGTATTTGTGTGTGGGTGTTTTTCCTCTTACCCCAACCCTTAACATCGATCCCCATTGCAGCTCTGGGTCTTGGAAGAGCAAGGAAGCATAGCCATGGGGGTGAGTGGCAACGAACAAGAGAAAGGGTTTGAAGGGACTGCCTTAGATTTACCCTTCAATCGCCGTTCCAACTTGAAAAGCGCTACCAACGATGACCACTTCACCAACCTTCTCGCCCACATCAAATCCTCCAAAACCCCTGTAAGCCTGAGAATCCATAATTTCTTATATCAATTTTTTATATATTTTGTTGTCTAATTTGTCACGAAATTGTTTGCAGGCCGTTATCAATTATGGTGCTTCCTGGTACGTTACTCTTCCAATTATGTTTCCATGAACCATGCTTGAAAATTCGTTTTGTTTGGATTTGGATGCATGAAATTCCATTTAAAGGTGTTGAAACGTGTCAATTATAGGGTTGTAACGTGTGAATTACAGCAATCCATTCAAGTCCTTTAATTTTTCATTCTTTCAGGTGTCGCGTTTGTAGCCAAATTCTGCCTGCATTCTGTAAACTGAGCAATAATTTCCCGAAGCTTACCTTTATATACGCAGATATTGATGAATGCCCTGAAACAACTCAACACATTCGATACACCCCAACCTTCCAATTTTACCGAGATGGTGAAAGGGTAGATGAGATGTATGGTACTGGTGAAGAGAGATTGCACGATCGCCTTTGGTTGCACTCTTAACCTCGTGTAAGAGATAAACATAATCGTGTTTACTATTTCTCCATCTATGTTACATTGTCAATCATTATCTATGAAACATCAGTACTCCATTTTCATCTTGTATCGGTATTGGATGCGTATCCGATACTATACGTTTTGATACTCTTTCTATACGTATCCTATTAGTATTGAAACCGTTTATAAAAAAAGAGAAAAAGAAGTAAATTTTGATAACTTTTTTGACACTCTTTGATAATTGACCGTTGAAGTTCTAATAATTGGTCCATTATTGTTGATATTTAGTTCTAGTTGTTAGTGTTTATTCAGGGAATTTTGGTGTGTGATTATTTCTTTACTATTTGTGCAGTTATACATCAATTGGGAGCATATATGACACTGTTCCCAACTTATTATTAAGCATTAGCAATTCTTCGAATAGAATCAAACCATCATATTTACTTGCTGATGGAAGATAGAGAAGGATGGGAGGGCTAAAAGGTCATCTTCTACTGGTGGACAACTTCGTGCTGATAGCAATGGCTTGACTAGCCTGGATTTGCATAAAAACAGCATGCTCACAGCATTAATCATTGCAGTAGGAGATGAGATTCTCTAAGTACCTTGATGTCACATGGATAACTGGATTTTGTGGAATAAATTGGAAACACTATCTTGTATGAACTCGTATGCCCTGCTTTAAAATATTCCATTGGAAGATTTCACTATTTTATCCGAGTATTTACCAAGTTTCAAGTTTCGGGTATCAATATGCTATAAACAATCTATTGTTGAATCTCGTAGATTGTATAGTGGATGGCTTCACTGTTTAGGCGAACTTCCTATTTTATCTTGACATAGCAGGTCTTCTGTTAATCTTGAATAAACAATATCCTTTTTTTTTTTTAACGTGAAGTAAGTAAGCACCATGGAAATTAATTTCAAATTTTCAATAATCATTTGATGAGAACAACTGTTTGATTTCAGTTGTCTAGCAAGAGGCAGGAGAGGGTGAGAAATATAGCATTTTATTTTTAAAATGGTCGTAGTACAACATAGGAGTGTACTGAAAAATTGTTTCATTGGTAGGAACATTTGAGAAAGCGACCTATGGTTCATGCTCACACGTGGCAAGATAATATAACTTATTAAGAAATAAGAAGGTCCAGTTCTTAACACCACGGCCTAGAGCAAGTGTATTAGGGCTGTTTATATTGGCAGGAAATTTTCTTAGAAGTACTGCCTTATTGTTGCTTTATACTATATTAAGATGTATGAAAATCATACATCTTTGTTAGAAGCTTGACCTGTAGTTTTTCAGAACAGTCATATAAACTGATAAGATCTAAAGGTATCTTCATATTTTGATTGCAATATTTCTTCCTTTTGTGTCTGTAATAAGGCATCAATCTGCATACTCAGACTTTGCTTGCTTTACACAATGTACTGTGTGATGACATTTTGTAGTATGAGATTGATTGATATTGATCCTGGCTTTCACTTTTCAGATGGCTCAATTGCCTGAGGGCATAACTGAATTATTGCATCATGAGTAGTTGTAGCTCTATATACACCCCTAAAACAGAGGAGATCGCAACACTTTGGCTGCTCCCACCCAATGACCAACACTGCCCAGCCATTAGCCACGTTGTATCTCTGAGTTCACTTCAACAAGATACTAGTGTTTTAAGAAATAAGTTCTTAATATATATTTTATGATTTTTTTTTATGTATATTTATATACATATCTTAAACGCATCGCATCATATCGTTTTTAAGAAAAGACGTATTATCGTATCGGGTATGAATCGAACATGATACACGCATCGTATCTACGTATAATAGATCATTATAGATTCTGTGAATGAATTCTAGAATAAATTACATCTATTCATAAGAATTTGTCTTTTACGATGTAAACAATTTCATAATTGTCCCCCGGAAAACATGAAATCAATAATCATCCTAAGTTTACATCAACCGCTCAAGATTAGTTGCAAAACTATCCGGAGAAGATAACTGGTAACAGCAAATAAATTTAAGTGGTAAAAGCAAAAACAGAAAAAGGTAGCTAATTCTGCATGCTCTCCTATTGAGCTAACGCATCCACTAGAGAGACATATATCTGTGCTTGCTTTTCTGATCCAAACTGTGAAACGTATCTTTAATAAGAGATGTACGCACTGAAGCTTCTTTATTTTTCCTTTTGCCCAAAATCTGAAAGATGGCTACGATGATAACCACCCGTGGCAATGCCATGGTTGGCTAACTCAAGCCTTAGGCTTGAGACTCTTCACGGTTTCCCAAGTAAAATCAGGATCATCACGTCCAAAATGTCCATAAGCAGCAGTTTTCTGGTACCTGAAGTTGCCTCCTCTCATGAGGTCAAGGTTGATGGCAATCATTCCTGGCCTGAAGTCAAAATTCTCCTTAATGAGAGCCAAGATGTCCTTGTCAGGAATCTTTCCTGTTTGGTATGTGTCTACAAACACTGACAATGGCTCTGGGACTCCAATTGCATAAGACACCTGCACAATGCAACGCCGTGCGAGCCCTGAAGCTACCACACTCTTGGCTGCTTGCCTAACAATGTATGCACCACTCCTGTCCACCTTGGTTGGGTCCTTGCCAGAGAAGGCACCTCCACCATGAGCACCCCAACCACCATAGGTATCAATAATGATCTTCCTCCCAGTGAGTCCTGCATCTCCATGGGGTCCCCCAATGACAAACCTTCCAGAGGGGTTGAGGTGGAAAATAGTTTTGTCATCAAGGTATTTAGCTGGGATCACAGGTTTGACCACATGCTCTTTCAATTGTTCTGCAATCTGTTCATTTGTGACGGATTCGTCGTGCTGAGTTGAGATGAGAACCGTGTGCACACGGATAGGGACCATGGCTCCATTATCGTTCTTGTACTCAACGGTCACTTGGGTTTTACCATCTGGCCTCAGCCATGGGCATGTTTTGTTCTTTCTCACTTCAGTGAGCCTGGCACCAAGTTTGGTTGCAAGCACATGAGTTAGTGGCATTAGCTCAGGTGTTTCATCTGTGGCATAGCCAAACATGTGGCCTTGGTCACCTGCCCCAATTTCCTCGGGTTTTTTGGTCATGTGACCATGAACTCCTTGAGCAATATCAGGGCTCTGTTGCTCAATGTTGACTAGAACTTTGCAGTTGTCAGCATCAAGACCAACATCCGCTGACACGAACCCAATGCCTCTGCAAGTGTCTCGAACTATTTTTTCGTAGTTCACATTGGCCTTGGTTGTGATCTCACCAAAGACCATAACCATGTTAGTTTTTGTACAGGTCTCACAGGCAACCTTGCTCTCTGGGTCTTGCTCCAAACATGCATCGAGGATGGCATCTGAAACCTGGTCACACAGCTTGTCGGGGTGGCCTTCGTTTACTGATTCCGAGGTGAAGAGGAAACTATCCATCACTGGTCTTAAAAAATAAACAAAATGGAAGGGGGGAAATATGTTAAATTGTGTTGTGTAAAGAAGCTATGCAAGCAATTAACATGGGAGGAGTAAGGTACTTATTCTATTGCATGAACCTGACAATCTTTATTTTATCAAACCACACAGATTTAATTTTCGTTGCACCTATCATATAAGACGTGTTTATTTTATATTTCTCTTATGAGAGAAAAAAAATAATCTATTTTATTCTTTTCGGACAAATTTTAAGGGTAAAAAAAATGGAATACAAGAGTTACATGTAGATCTGTGGGAACAATTGATCTAATTGTTCAGAGTCCATAGTTAAATCTTTTAGAAGGTGAATCTAATGATGAAAAAAGGAAGCGTTAGTGGTAACGTCTTAACAAAAGGTGTGGAAGCATTTGCTAAAACTACATACACTGCATCTCATAACCAACGTTTCACTTTCAATGATCTTTCCAATAGTATTGACATTTTCTTTCTTTTATTACTTAACCGTCCAAACGTAAACAAAAAAGGAAGCACAAACTCAACAAACCGAAAACAAATAAGCCAATATAGATTTGTGAGTGGTGCACAAGACGCAGAACAGATCCAAGTCGACGGTGGTAATAATTTTGCATACATTGAATATAAATATTTTTGAGAAAACTAACAAAAATACAAGAATAAGAATAACACATTAAATTATCAAAACAGTTAATATTAAGAGCTAGATCTAAACAAGGATGCTAAAGAAACAATTCTATGAAGCAAGCATTGATCCAGGATCTAACAACTACAAATGCTGCAAACTGAATTTTGATGAGGTATACGTATTGAATTGGAAGACGTGAGACAAGATACATACCAATGGTGCTGCTTTGAGCTTAGAGGAAGAAGAACAAGAGAAATGACAAACCGGAAATGTGAAGAAAACAAAGAGGAAGGCAAAAGAAAGCTAGTGTGACCTATATATATAGCCATACACACGCTTATTATACATTCAAGAAAATAGACGAATGACTCGCTCCCATTTTTCTCATGCTTTTTGTGGTTCTGCAATTTTAACTTTGATAAGAGTTTTTTCTCAAATCATTTATGAAATTATTCTCTTGTTCGTCACGTTATATGTATAATTTAGATTTAAAATTAATTAAAAATAAAATGTAAATTACACTCTCTTTGATTATAATAATTTTACTTTTCTATATCGTTCTAAATTTTAAAAATTAAATTTTTTATTTCATATAAATTTTAAATTTTTTTTATGAATACCGATTTTACATTTACAAAAATTATTTTTATTTTTAATATATAGAATTTACTTTGAAGAGACTTTTTTAAATTTATGTTTATTATTATCTATTAATTATTGACATATAATTAAAATATTCATTTAATTATATGATAAAAGTGTTACTTTAAAATAAATATATTTTAAAATTATTTAATTTAATTAAATATTTATATTTTAATACATGATATTCGTAGTTATAGAATTAAATCTGAATAATTTTTAACAACTAGATTAATAAAATGCATCATTTATAGAAGTTAATAAAGACAACTTTTGAGATTATTTCACTTAAATCCAAGATTTCTCTCGTTCTATATTGGCTACATCGGTAACAATTAACTAGTAATTGGTTACTAAAGCAAAGTGGAAACTCTTACCGCCAATTTTGTCGTAACAAATATGTGTAGCAAAGGACACATTAGAACAATAATGAATAGGGATGATGGCGCATGTGATATGCCTCACAATTTGTATCATAAATACATAAAACTACAACACGCGGTGAGCTGGCCACAATTAGCTTTGCTCATTATTATGTTTGGCTACATAACAAGTTGCATCAAATAATAATTAGATAATGCTATTAGAATCTTAATAACCACTAATCGTCTAACCCTACAAATATTGTACTTGATTGATACCCATGTCCTGAGATAAAAAAAAGTGAAATAATGTGTATATTAACATTTAGAAGAATTAAGCAATCCTCTAATCCAACTTTTAGAATTGAGTAATGTTTTAAATTGCAGTTTACTAGTTTGCCACCACAGCTGCGATCGTATTAGTCTCAATTATTCAAATTTTTCCACAATATCAAGGATTATGTTATAATCACAACTTGATTCATTTATAAAATTCAACCCAAGAAGGCATGCACGTAACAGCATGAGGATTGCAAGGAAAAGTGTAAAATTCAGCAATCTGAGTTGAGATGGCATAAGCTGAGTTGAACTTTCTTTTCTCTTTTTGGGTCGGAGTGAAAATCAGCACCAGACAACAGAAAATGGATGCAAAGCCTAACTGTTAAATAAAATAAGGCTTAGCCCATTAATTGATAAGATTGGAACCAAAGACTTGGGCTCCCACCAATCATCGGCATCTAACTAGACATTGTGATCCCAATTCCGCAAAACCTCATCATGGAATTGCCGAATTGGGAATTCCAGTTTGAGTTGGATGGGCCTCTTCATTAGCTTATCATTTGCAGAACCTATTTACCAAATACACTATTTGTTTCAGTCGCGACCAAAACAATAAAAGTCTATTTGTTTAAGGTAAACAATATTGCCTGGATAAAGTACAATTTGATTTAATGAAAAAATGTTGGCTAGATCCTACCGTGCTTTCTAGATCCCTTATGCGTTTATGCTCTTTCCCTTGGATCCTGTTATCTTTTTTTTAAGATCCCTTATGCCTCCAAGAAGTGTACTTATAAAAACACTCATATTTAAGTGAAAAAAACAACCTCACATATTAAGAACAATTAGTAATCTTACTTGGGACTTATTTTCCCCTTTATACGATTATTACATATGTTTTAAAAAGGAAGGTAATATCGTAATTAAATTAAGCAACTATCAAAAAAGTGGGAATATTACTTAACCGTGCCAGTGATAGATTCAGGACCCAGTATTCTCATGAATCTCAATTCAGTTAGACTGCTTTAAATAATAGTCTAGAATAAAATAATATTTTAAAAATGAATTTAAAACACTTGATTTATCAACCTAATAAAATGGAATTATATATAAACTATAAACATAATTCATTTTTTAAAATTTAATATGTTAGATATCAAAAATAAATTCTATGTACTGTAAAATTAAGCCTTTTTCCAAATAAAATAATGAACAATATATAATATTAATTGTACAGCAAAACATGGAAGCCCCGTTCATTGTTACTCGTGCATCGTGCTGATCTTCATCCATCACAAGTTTCCCTATCGTTGTCCCTGCTATTTTTAAGGTACCTTTATCCTTATTCTATTTCTAGCTTGTTGCTATTGTCTTCTTTTCCGCCTTTGGAATACGATGATGATGATTGTGGATTGTAAGATCATATGAATAAATGGCGTTAAAATTGCGCACAAGTATTACACACGTAATAATGTTTTGAAACAAATTATTATCTTCCGTTCATAATCAACATTTTTCCTAATTTTTATACGTTATTCATAAATATGTGACTTTTGTGGAATAACAAACTTAGTTGTATTATTAAATATCAAATAAGTAATATCATTCATAACTATTGTTTATTTACATTTTATACATATTATGAATAATGATTACTTTTGTTCCATGTCAATTATTCAAAATAACATTTCTTACAAGTTTACGTGGACATTTATAAATTTTAATTTACTTTTTTATCGATGTTAAATGTATGTATTCTTATTTGTGTGGCAAAAATATTATATATTATGTATTTTTTTTTATTTTAGTCCTTAAAATTATTAGCGTAAGAAAATTCTTAATTCCTAAAATTTTAGCCATGTATGTTTAAAAATTTTCATTCATTCATCCTTCTTTTTTATTCATTATTAACATTATCACTAAAAATTATTATAACACTCTTCCTTTCTTTTTCAAATATTCTCAAATTTCTTCACCTTTATCACTAGATTTATCTTCACAATTTGCTTTGGGTAATTACACTGGCTTTAGCTTTACAAGAACATGAGAATAATTCAGAACTCCCAATGTTATTGTATTTTTGGCAATGCCAACAAAGTAGAGCCTTTCAACGACATTGGGGTTCAACACTGAAGAACAAGGAAAGATAGTATCTTATTGGTGAGGGAGTTAAGGTTGAGAGAGATAAGACTCAAATAGAAGTCATGGAGGAGAATATCTTCAGTGAAAAGATCATAGGAGGAGAGAAAAAATTTGTATATCAATAAACCCAAAATGTGGAAAGATGGAAAAAAAAATAAAAGAAAATTTGTATATTAACAAATGTAGACGATGGAAAGACAAAAAAAAAAAGAAAAAAAAAAGAAAAAAAAAAGAGAAAAGATATGTATATTATTTGTATATGCAAATGGTAGAAAAGTAAGAGAAAAAAGAAATATTTAAATATTAATAATAAAGATGGTAGTTTTCAGTGATAGTGATTTTTGGTAATGATATTACATTAAAGAAGAAAAAAATTTAAAAATATGTAACACTAATCATTTTACAGACTAAATTAAGGATTTATTTAATAAAAAATAGATATAATAATGAGTAAAGTCTTAATAAGATATTACAATACTTATTCCTATACTTCATGGATAATAACTTTGATTTTCATATTCATACATGCAGGTATCCAGATCATCTTACCTATACTTCTTATCTGTACTTTGTTAATTAAAATATATTTTTAAAATATTTTAAATAAAATATAAATAACAAATAAAATTGTTAATCTAAAGTCAAATAAAATATTAAATTATGATATAATATATGTAAAAATTATAACAACATTATTTATCTAAAATTTTTATTTAGTTTTTGAGTTTTATAGTGCTGGTATGTACCATATTTTATGAATAATTACTTTTATTTAAACTCAAATTCATTAAGAGAATATTTATTCTATCCATTTCTTTTTCTAGTACTTGATATAAGATTCATTGTTATTTTTAGTAAAAATGTCTCTAATATACAAATGTGAACACATCATCTAGCGAATTATTCTTAAACAGAGTTGGTGAATAGAATATATT